CTGGAGGCAGGGAGCTACTGGGCAGGCATCCAGGCCAAAGATGAGGAGACCAGGACTAGGACTGGGGTGTTAGCAGTGGTGGGGTTTAGGAGGTAAAATGGATAGGATTTGGGGGTGGGCTAGATGTGGGTGGAGAGTAAGGTTTTGAGAGAAGTGAGGGGCCCCAGTTTCCCTGGCTTGGGTCAGATGCCCCTGCACAGGAGTCAGTGGTATGGAAGGGGAGCCTGTTGGGGGGTTGGGAGTCAGGCGGGAGCCTGGAGACCGCCCAGCTCATTGGTTGTAGGGCCTGCCTCCAGGAGTGCCTCCCCCCGCCCCCCCCCGCCCGATCTCGACCCAATTCAGCTGTCACTCAGGCAGGCCAGGCCTTGAAAGGCTCCCAAAGAGCTGGTGATTTGTGCAGGCCTGGCTGGCCCATTGTCCGGCTGGGATTCGGTCTTTGCCAAGACTAACAAAGAGCTCAGCAAAGAGCTGGCTCTGGGCTTGAAGTGAGGGGTAGGGAAGGAGGGGGGAGGGGGAGAGAAAGGGGGAGGAGCTCGCCTCAGGCCTAGGCCAGGACCAGGGTGTCGCTTTCAGCCTTCTTCTCAGGCCTGTGTGGGTCCGTGGCGGTTTGAGCTTCCGTGCACAGGGCGGTTGAGTGCACATGAGAACCCGTGTGCATTGTGCACCTCTGCGTGTGCGTGCGCCCTCATGCCCTGCGTGTGAGCATCACCATACGTGCGCAGATGTCAGATATACTCTGTCCCTCTAGATTTGCTCCCCACCCTGCTTCATGCCCCCCAAGAGCCCTGATCCTGGGAGCACATCAGCCAGACTCCTGTCTGGCTGCTGGTTGGGTTCGGCCAATGGGAAGCCTGGCCAGCAGATCGGAGGGCGGTGGGCTGGACAGGTTGGCTCCTTCCCCACCAAGCTGCGGCTCAGCTGTGGTTGTGGTCGGAGGATCTGAACGCCGCAATTTCTTCTGGCCAGTCCTCTGCAAAGCTACAGCTCTCACCAACTCCCACATGGCCCTGTCCCCTGACCCTTCAGGCCAGGGTCGGCAACCTGGCTCCCTGCTATTGTTAGCCACCAGGTGCATCACTATTGCTCCGGTTTCCCTTTACCCTACCCTCACCTTTGTGAATGGCCCCTTTATTACATTTTGCTGGTTTTGTTTGAGTGTGCCAACTGCCTCTTGCTGAGATTCTGACTGAGACGGCAGGTGCATACAGCTGCATAGTGTGCGCATGCGCATACTGCATCTCTTATTAGCGCGTACCTGGAAGGACCTGCGTGCACATTTCTATGCAGCTGTGCACACATGTACATGTGCTTTGTACATGTGGGCATCCCTATGTGTGCACATGTTACCATTTATGAATGGGGACACATGGCAGCTATGTCCATGGGGGTATGCACACACGTGTAGTTTTTACTGTGTTTCTGTGTGTTCATGGTGTGTTTTGGGTGGCACTGATTGTGAGTGTCTATGAGTGTGCTGGCAGAGGTACAACAGGGAGGAAGCCTGATAGTTGCAGGTGCGGGCTCCTCCTACAGGCTCCCAGGCAGCCAAGGATCCAGAGTGGCTCCTCCCAGGCTCCCCCTGGGGCCTCTTAAGAAGCTTTGCCTTTCCAAAGAGACCTGCTCCTGGGAGTTCAGCTTGTTTTGTTTAACAAACATCACTGGGGAGGGGGGGTGCCTCGTTGCCTCCATCATCACCCTTTGGGAGGCCCCCCTTTTTAGTGTCAGGCTAGGGGGAGGTGACCTCTTTTGGCTGCAGCCTCAATAGCTCAAATTACATGTAGCATCAGACAAGGTTCAGAGGGGAAGACCCAGGCTTACTGAAAGGGTTAATATCCTTATCCCATAAAGGGTTTGTGCAAGAAAAACATGAAACCCAGAAGTTATAAAGCAAATGATAAACAGATCCAACTCTATAAAAATAAAATTTTTGTGCAATGAAAGGGATCAAAGAAATTTAAAAGACAAACAAGTTGACTGGAAATAAGTATCTAAATTTATATCGTAGACAAAGGGTAATGTCTATGACATATAAAAAGTTGCTGCAAACCAATAAGAAAATAACAGCAATCCAATGGTAAAATGGGCTAGAAAGAAATATTACCAATGGCCAGTAAATGATGAAGAAAGCTTAAGCTCAATAATAACAATGAAAATTAAAACATGTGAGGAAACCACTTTTTGCCCAACAGATTTACTAAACTAAAAAGCAAATGAGGGGTACCTGGGTGGCTCAGTCATTAAGCGTCTGCCTTCGGCTCAGGTCATGATCCCAGGGTCCTGGGATCGAGCCACGTCGGGCTCCCTGCTCTGCGGGAAGCCTGCTTCTCCCTCTCCCACTCCCCCTGCTTGTGTTCCCTCTCTCGCTGTGTCTCTCTCTGTCAAATAAATAAAATCTTAAAAAAAAAAAAGCAAATGATAATCAATGATGGCGTGGGTGTGGGGAAATGACCACACTCATGTATCTATCAAAATATAAAGTATGTGTATTCTACATCCCAGTAATTCCACTTGTAAAAATCGATCCTACAAAATTACTAGCACATACATGCAAAAATATATTTGTAAGTTTATTCCCTAAAGCACTACAGTCATACAGAAATATTTAGAAACAACTTAAATGTCTTTCAGAAGAATTATGGTTGAATAAAATGTGGTATAGATATATACTCTGAATACTGTGGCACTGTTGAAAAAGTAGATCTGTACTACTGACATGGAATCTATATTTTCTAATATAAAAAGTAAAAATTTTTTTTAAAATTTATTTGACAGAGAGAGATACAGCGAGAGAGGGAACACAAGCAGGGGGAGCGGGAGAGGGAGAAGCAGGCTTCCCATGGAGAAGGGAGCCTGACGCGGGGCTCGATCCCAGGACCCTGGGATCATGACCTGAGCCGAAGGCAGACGCTTAACCATCTGAGCCACCCAGGTGCCCCTAAAAAGCAAAATTTAAAACAATATGTATTAGATAATCCCACTTGTGTTTCTGAACGATTCTGTGTGTAAACTGGCTTAGTGGTTTGAAAATTATCAATGTGCTTTTTAAAAAAATTCTTTTTTAAGATTTATTTATTTATTTGAGAGAGAGAGAGTGAGCGAGAGCACTGGGGGGTGGGAGGGACAGAGGGAGAAGGAGAGGGAGAGAGAATCCCAAGCAGACTTGGCACTGAGCATGGAGCCAGACACGGGGCTTGACGAGGAGCTCAATCTCATGACCCTGACATCAGGACCTGAGCCGAAACCAATAGTCAGATGCTTAACCAACTGTGCCACCCAAGCACCCCACTCTTTAAAAAATTTCTGATCTTGGCAATGGTTGGTCAGGGAACATCCATCTGCCTTGGGGGAATTAGGAATGCTCCAGAAGAAATAAAAAGAGAAAGACAAATTCAGCTTCAGACATTCAAAAATAGGATTTCACAACCACACAGTAGTCAACTTCCTGTCATTCCTATTTATCTATTAAAGATAGAGCCACATGGCTAGAGCCGGGAGGAGCAATGTGGCATTGGGGAAGGCTTGCCTCAAAGATGGAGGCGGGAGAGAAAGGCAGGGAAGAGATGAGGGTCCCAGTTCCCATCTTTTGGGATCTTTTGGAGGAGGGGTATCAGTTAGTTAAGGGTGTTTGTTAAAGGATGTTAATCACTAATAACAAAGAGGCTATGGCTTCCACTCCCCATTTTTTTGCCTCAGGAAGAGATTCCTTGAGGATGCCGCTACAAAACTTGAGCTATGGTAGCCAGCGTCCAAGATGACTGTTCACCTTCTTGGGTAGTCCCAGTTGGGAGACAGTTCTCCTGGAGCTAGTTATGGACTGAATTGTGTGCCTCCAAAATTCGTATGTTAGAGCCCCAACCTCCAATGTGACTATATTTGGATATAGGGCTTTTGGGAGTTAATTTAGGTTAAAGGAGGTCGTCAGTTGGGGCCCTAATCCCGTAGGACCAATGGCCTTATAAGAGATTTCCCTCTCTCCTCCTCTCTCCTTCTCTCTCTCTCTCTCTGCTATGTGAGGACACAGTGGAAGGTGGCCATCTGCAAGCCATTGGGAGAACTCTCACCAGCTACCAAATTGGCCAACACCTTAATCTTGGACTTTCCAGTCTCTGAAACTGTGAGAAATCAAGTTCTGTTGTTTAAGTCACCCAGTCTATGATATTGTGTGATGGCAGCCCTAGCTGACTAAGACAGAGATCTCACATGTTAGCATGATTTGTGAGCAAGGCACTGACTGTCTTTTGTTCTGGGCTCCGTTGTCATGGATGTTTGTGTGGCAAACCCCCTGGAAGACAGACACAGTGTCCCCCTGCAGGGTGAAGAGCAGGCATGCTACTGCCCATGGTAAGAGATTTGGGTCCCCTAATCAGAGTGGCTCTCCTATAACACAACTCAGTGCATGTGCAGGTGATTTCTAGCCCTCTTCATGCTAATCTGTGGCCATTGGGGCTCTGTTATTATAATTCGGGCTATCGCTATTGCTGTGAGTAACAAACTTCTTCTGATCTGTCGCATGTTTTCTGCCAGCAAGAAGCAGAGGCAAACCAACTCCTTAGTATGCAATTAGGGTAAAATCTCAAACCCTGCACAGTTCTAGATAATCCTTCCCTACACTGACCCTTTTGGCCAGTAGAATACCATGGAAGTGATGCTATGTAAGTTCAAGACCAAGTCATAAAAGACAATATAGCTTCTGCCTGGTTCTCCTGGGGTGCTCACTCTTGGATCCCAGGCCCCATGCTGTGAGGAAGCTCCAGATGCCTTGAGGAGAGGCCCACATAAAGAGGGACTGACAGGTCTCACCAGCTTGTCAGAAATTTGAGTTAATCAACCTGCAAGTGGACCCTGCAGTCCCAGTCCAACCTTCAGATGAGTGCAGCCCCTCAACATCTTACTGAATACTCAGGATAACTAAGCAGGAATTCCCAGCCCAGCCTGGTCCTAGATTCCTGACTCAGAGAAACTGTGAGAGATATTAAATGATTACTGTCATCTTAAACCATTGCATTTGGGGATGATTTATTGCACAGAATAGATAACTAATACATAGGACATGGGCCTCATCCCCTCAGTGCCAGGTGATCCAGCAGAGGGGAAACTCAAGGCTTTCCTGAGCTTCCATGCAGTGTGGAAGTTGGGGTAAAAGCCAGCAGACCTGCCACAGGGTCTCTGAGCCTCAGTGTCCCCATCTATAAAATGGGGGATGCAAATAATAGCCCCTTCCTAGGAATGTGGGAAACATTCAGTGAGATAATCACGTAAAGCACTCAGCTTTAACTTTTGTGTATAACAAACTCTATTACGTGCTTGTATTGCTTTTGTTTAATTATTTTGAGAGATTAAAAATCAGAGAAGTCAAAAAAATAGCATAATAATCACTCAAAATCACCAGCCAGATTAACAACAAATAACTTTTTTGTCATGTCTGCTTCAATTCTTTTTAAAACTCTGCTGTTAAATATATGCATGTGTTCTCCCTTTGAGAAGTGAACCCAAACATTGAAGGTGAAGCTGAGAGCCTCCTGGCTGGTCCCCAAGTCCCACTTCTGCCTTCTTTCCCTGGGCGGGACTCAGCAGGAGTGTGGCGTGCTTACTTCTGGTCCGGCCTTTCTCCCAGCGTTGGGTGGTGGGCGGCCGCATCTGCGGAAGCTCCAGAGAGTCAAGTACGCCACCACCGTTGGCCCAGATGCAGAGAGATGCCTGGGGAGCAAGGCAGCAGGAGGTAAGAGGAAGAGAACAGGAAGCATGGGCAAGAGAAACCCGAAGAAGGAGGCCCCACCAGCTGCCCAGAGAGACAGGGAGCTAGAAGCTGGGCCAGGCTTGCCATGGGCCACGGGGGCTGCTATGGCTTCCTGACATTGGGTTAGTCGCTGTCACCTGCACTGTCACCTGCCACCTGCCACTCTCCAGCTCGGTCGCACACAATCGCACAGAGTCACCTGCCTACGATAAGCCACACACAATGATTGTTGTCCCCCTATCAGTTGTGCCGTGGGGTGTGACGTCACGCGCGATGTCACATGACACGTGCAGACCCCTCCCCGCCCGGAGCCCTGCCCACGGGTCTCCCTGCACGTTGTGTGCTGTTGGGGCCTAGGTTGTCTGGCTCAGCAGCCTGGGCCCTGGCCCTGCCTCTGCCAGCAGGGCCACCATTCACCGTCCAACTCCAGGAGCTGGGGAGGCCGGGGAGCTGCGGAAGCAGAGCAAATCCAGAGAAAAGGCTTTGTTCTTTGTGGGCAGGTCATTAGGGGGAGCCGGAGCCCCTCTGCCAGCCCCTCCCCTCCAACAAAGGAACAAAACAGCAGCTATTTTTAGATTCGTGTCAAACTCTCCCTCAGACCCTGGGGTGGGGAGTCCCGTGAGAGAGGCATTTGTGAGGGCTCTAATGAGCGGCGGCAGACTCTCCAGGCAGCTGGCCCCCATCTCCGCCAGGGGAGGAGCGAGCCCCGGATGCTCCTCAGACAAAGAGAAGACCAAGACAATGAGAACAATGCCCAGGCTCCCGGACGCTGAGCATCCCCCACTCTGGAAGGCAGTCCCATTGGATGCAGGGCATGGGCGTCCGGACACTCCCTCCCTTGCCGAACCCACTGGCACCTCCCAGGCCCCGTTTCCCAAAGAAGGCTACCTGGGATGAGAAGCTTGCCTGGGATGGGCTCTTCCTACTACACAAACCTCATGAGGTGGGAAGCCTGAGAATCATCTAGATCTAAGAATGAATCCCAGCTCTGCCCCCTACAGCTATGTGGCCTCAGCTCTCAGTTTCCTTTCCTGTAAAATGGAGATTAATTCTCACCTCCCAGGATTACCGTGAAGAGTCCAGAGATAAGAACTGGGTTCATGTTCACAGTTAGGTCCTCGGTCAGCCCAGGAGCCCTGTAAGCTCCTCGTAGAGCAAGGGCTTTGTCTTATTCAGCACTAAGCAGGAGAGCACAACACTCGGCTTGGCACACATTAGGTGCTCACTAAACTTTGTTGAAAAGGTTACTAAGAGTCTTTACCAGTCTTCTGCCTTATAGGCTTGCCCCAACTTTCCAAGCCCCTCTCCCAATGTCCTCTCAAAAAGAAATTTGCCCTGCTAGGACCAAGCCACTGGTCAGCAGGTGAGTCAGCCTCCTGGACTTAAGAGCCCTGTACTGCAATGACAGAGTCTGGCCACCAGGGGGCGCAGTCTCTTAAGGTTTCAGCACGAGCCCCGAGTCCTTTCCGCCACTCAGGGGCCTGCGGGGCTGGAGACGGTACCACCCACCAGGTGGGGTACCTGTCCTCTCCCTCAGGTGGAGATTGTGGGGCCATTCTCCTAAAACACTGGAGAAGCAGCATTACCACCAAGCCTGTCATCTCACAGTGCTTAGAAAGAAATGTTTCTTCCTTTGGGTCTGCCCTGCTCCTTCCTCTTGCCAGTGTCCTGTCCTCATAGCCTATGGGGACCCATTGCTCCCTAATGCTTGCCCCACCAGAATTCAGGATTCCTTGTTCTATCACCTTCCCCTCCTCAGCCAGAGAAGCCCAGGCCATCAGGTCCTCAAGTTGACCTGTTTCCCACCCCATTTTACAGATGGGAAAGCTGAGGTCCACGGAACAGAATCCCTGTCTCAAGGGTACACAGTGAGGAGGTAGCTGGGTCAAGACCAAAACGTAGGTCTTCTTTTTCGACTTGTCCACCTCACTCATGAATTCTTTTCCTATTGTTTCAGGGGAAGGAGACAAAGGAGAAGGAAGATGATCTTTGAGGCCTTCTTATTCTGTTCCAGATCTTTGGCCTTACACTCTACCTGCATTATTCCATTGAATCCTCCACCAACCCCTTGAATAAAAAGTTCTTATTTATATTTATGGATGAGGAAAGTGAGGTCTGATAAGTTTGCCTGGGTTTCACAGCTAAACAAAACAGCGCTGGTGTTTGTCCCAGGACGGATTCCCAAACCCACATTCTTTCTGTTGCATTAGGTTGAACCATATAAAATTGCCATTCCCATATGTCAAAGTTTTTCAAATATCTGGAATGCTTAAGCTTAATATTATGCAGAGGAGACTCCCTTATCCTAAAGGAAGGAGCCATTAATTGGAACATTCTGATGGTGGGGTAAGAGAAGAATCTCTTTGGGAGCAAAACCTCTCAAAGAGATGACTGTTGCTGGAGAGATTGCCCTCCCCCCAACCCCAAAGCCCACGTCAGGACAGTGGCCAGATGGCTCTAGAGACCCAAGTTCAGTGACCTCTGGCCACAGAGGGGTCATGCACCCTGGATAAGAGGAGATTTGGGGGAGGATCTTGAAGGGGGGATATGGCTTCTCTGGCTATGTCAGGGAGGCCCCTCAGAGGAGAGACAAACCGACATGGTAAATTTAGAATGTCACAGAATGCCACAGAATATCATGGCTAGAATGCCATAGAATGCTGTTGAATGTCTAGGAATGTCGTAAAATGCTCTGGAATGTCAATGTCACAGGATATCGTGAATTCTTGTAAATGTCATAGATTGTTGTAAATGTCAAGAGATGTCACAGAATGCTGTAGATGGTTGTAAATGTCATCGAATGTCAAGGACCAACCTTCCATGTCATCATCGAATGCTGTAAGATGGCTGTAAATGTCATGGAATGACTTAGAACGTCATCCTCGACTGTGGTTGGTGGTTATAGAAATGTCCGCATCACAGAATGTCACGGAGAGTTTGAGCCAGCTGGCAAGGACTTTGGGGATTGTCCAGGTTCAGCTGCTCATTTTGCAGGTGGGAAAACTGAGGCCCAGAGAGGGGAAAGGGCCTTGTCTACTAGAGCTCACCCAGATAGTCATTGGCAGTTTCAGAATCGACATCTGGGTCTCTGGACTCCCAGCCCAAGCAGCCTCCCCTTGGCTGAGGCTCGTGGGGACTAATTAACCCTGTGATGGAAACAGTGGTGCCCAGTGGGTATTCAGCAAAACTCTTGAATCTGGCTGGCACTAGCCTGTCGGGATGGGGAATTAACTCCACAAGTGGGGCATTCTGGGCTGGAAAACGAAAAAATGAGTTCTTTGCTAAACTTTGCTAAAATCAACAATGGCCCTTGCTCTGCAGCAGAGAGCAGGTGGGTGTGTTGGGGGAGCCCCCAGAGGCCTCTCCCCGACCCTGTGCCAGAAAGGTGCCTCCAGGCTGTCTCAGGAGCCTCACCTTGCAGAGCCGGGGACTCAGAGGTGTCCACTCTGGTGGACAACACTTGGTGGAGGCCCTGGGGCCAGGGAGGCTAGGTGTGGGTCTGAGAGGCAGGGCAACAAGAGGGGGACCTCAGAAGGAGAACATCTGATGCCACACTAGGCCTTTACAGCCAGATGTGAGGCAGGAAAGATGCCATTTCAGTTCAACTGATAGCAGCACCTGGGATGGAAGTTAGCAGAAAGAATCCAGAGTCCTTCTTGGAAGGTTTATGGAACTGGGAGCAAGATGGCGAGATGAAATCATCTTCAGGAGGTGCTCTTCCCTTGCCTCCGCAACCAACAGGAGACTCTACCCATAATAAGGTGCTCTCTGCTTCCCTCCATTTGTCCCTAAGCCTCTCCCTGCCTCTCCCCGCCCAACACACTTCTCCCCTCATGTAAAGATTCCCAGAACTAGCCCTCCCCTCCTGTCTCCTGGTGGTATGAACCACCCTGCAGGTCCTCTGACCTACACGAATGAACCAAGCCCTGGAGCTCCCTGCCCTGTAAGGGCAAGTGAAACAGGGAGAATTCCAGGGCTCTGCCCACATCCTCACTGATGCACAGTCCCCTTCTCCTGGCTACCGGGCTAGAGACCTTTCTGGGCGCAAAACCCAGAGCCATCCCAGGGCGTCCCCAGCCCTGAGGGGAGAGTTGGGAGCGGTGGCAGAGAAGATCCCTCTGGCAGGCCTTGGAGGTGGTCCGGGCTGACCACAGCCACCATCTCAGCTGGACAGGGGAACCTTTGCCCCTCTAGGCTGGGCTGGCAGTGACTCTGAACATTAGGCATCCACCCTCTTAGCAAAGCCTTCCTTTCTCTCTGAGAGTTTGCTCCCTGCAGCTGTAAAAATAACGAGGTCCCAGCAGAGCCTGGTGGCAGAGCTGAGTTCAGGAAAGGGCACAATGAAAGAATGTTCAGGAGGAGAAGGGGGTGGAGGGGCTCAGGCAGGGACAGGCCACGGTGACTGGAGGGTCTGGGGGGAGTTCAGGGCCATGGAGGACCACAGGGGGAGCAGTGGGGTTAACCTCACCCTTGTCCATATTAATGAAGATTTTCCAGTGGTGCACACACACTTGTGTTGCTGGAGACTATGCTTCCGTGTGGGGACACGTGTGCCTGGGTGTTGTGCTTGCCCCTGGGTAGGCATGCACCATCTGCCTGTTGGGAGTGTATGGATGTGTGTGTCCTTTATTGTTTCTGTGTAGATGGGTGTGACTGTGTGGGTATATATGTGCATATCTTAATATGAATATGATGGTCTCAGCATCAGCTGAAGGAAGACGTGGTTTAAAAGACAAGGAGAGTAGTGTTTAAGAGCTGTACCTAGGCTCAGGAAGATCTGGATTCAAATCCTGCCAGTGGCACCTTGGGCAGGTGATTCAGCTTCTTTCAGTTTTTCTATCTGTAAAATGGGGAAAACATTAATCTCCACCTTCCCAGGGTTATCATGAAAGTCTAGTGAGACAGGGAATATAAAAGTGCTTTGTGAACCGTAAAAGGCAGGCCAGGATTGGGAAAAGACAGGTGTGACAGGATTGCTGCAAGACCTGAGGATAAATACGGTAATGATACGCAAATTGTGCATGAGACTTGTGTCCGGAATAAAAGAATAACAGAAGAAAGTGCCAGGTCCCCTGTGTACCTGTTGGGGAGAGTATTTATTGATGTGCCAATGTCAGGTACATTCCCTACCCTTGACATTGCTCTCCAACCACCACTTGTCAACCCGGTTCCCAGATCCCAAGTTTGAAGAATCAGAAGAATGGGTATAGAGGATGGGAGCAGAGAGAAGGAAGGAAAGGTGAGAGCTGAGAGCTGAAGACAATCTACATGATAAAGAAATGGGAAGCAGGGAGGAGAGAAAAAGAGAAACCCAAGGGGCATCCGGGGATTTGGTGAGTGAAAGGTGGTGGAACAGGCGCTAGTGGGGGTGGGGAGGAGAGAAGGACAGGTGAGGAGAGCCGCTGTGAATTCTAGTCTGGATTCCTTTATTGTTCTTAAAATTCAGGTAAAGGCTGGAATTATTATTTTTTTTAGTTGATTTATTAATTATCTCTGCACCAAATGTGGGACTTAAACTCATGACCCCGAGGTCAAGGGTCACATGCTCTTCTGACTAAGTCAGCCAAGCGCCCTTGGAATTCTTTTCAATTCCCTATTTAATGGCTGTATTTTGTGTCTTTGAATCTGAATCTGTGCTGAGACTGGACCATTTGGGGCTACTGCCTATATAGTCTGATTGGCTGTGTCCAAGGAAGCTGGCCCACCACTGGCCAGGAGAGCAGTCTGGAGAAAAGAGCCATTGTGAGCTGGGCAGATCCCTCCAAAAGGCGTCTTCCAATGAGCGGCACTGCTGACCCTTGGTGCCAAGGCTTCCTCCCTCAGCAGGTGCTTCTCTGTCCTCTAGGGAAGCAGATGGAAAAGCTGAAGAGGATCTCGGGGCCCAGGAGTAGGGCCACTTGGGACTCCCAACCTCATCTGCAGAGGTCTCTGCCTCAAAGAGCTTATATTCTAGTAGAGGAGACTGAAGCCATAACTCCACGTTGCATTGTAAGAATAACAATAAAGGCATTGCTAGGCAAGGGCGGAGGGGAGAGTGTGGGCTAATTCACCTCTAATTCACCTCAGCAGAGAAGGGGAGCCACAGAGGTGGTGACATTGAGCTTCAGTCTTAAGGGCAGAGCTGGAGAGTGCCAAGCGGACCCAGTGGAGAATTGTGTTCCAGGAGTCAGGAGTTGCTTGTGTAGAGGAAAGGGTGTGTGAGGAGCCTGGGAGGTAAGGGAAAAGGCCAGGGTGATGAAGTGTGGGACGTGAGAGGGAGAATCCAGGGCAGAAGGGGCAGAGGAGATGCACAGGGGACAGAACATCAGAAGCCACATCAGGGAGGCCTTTAATTCTGGGATAAAGAGAGAGGATTTATCTTGTAGCAATGAGGAGCCTTGGAACCATGTGGAAGGTTTTAGTCAGGGAATAATGGGATCAAGATGGCATTTTTTTTTTAAGAGCTGATTTTTTAAAAAAAGAAAAATTACTCAGCCTGCTGGGTGGTGGGTGGGACTTGGGAGGAAAGATTGGAAGAGGGAAGCGCCGTGGGCAATGAGATAGTAGCTACCCTCCATCAAACTTTAAGCGCATTATTTCATCTTACCTTCTCCACAACCCGATGTAAGATCAGCATCTCCATTTTACAGATGGAAAAACTAGGACTCAGGAGACGATGTGAATGTCCTCAGGTCACACAGCCTGCAAGCTCCTAGATAAGATTCCAACTTACCTGGAAGATTCTAGGTAAGAATCTGGGAGATTCCAGCCCAGCCCCGGCTGATGCCAGAGCCCTCCTTCTCAGTCTTTACGACTGGATCCAGGCGGCCTGGGGTCGAATCCTAGCCTCACCGCAGCACGTGACAGCTGCCATAATGGGGCAACGGACGTGAGAGGTCTGGGCCTCAGTGTCCTCATCTGTAAAGTGGGGCTAATAATAGCATCCACCTCATGGGGTTGTGAGGACAGAGTGCTTGGCAAGGCGCCTGCAAGCAACACACTCTCACCACGGCAATGTCCTGGCAAAGCACGTGCCACCCGCCATAGAACCACAGAGGAACCATCGGCTGAGCAGAGAGGCCCGGGCAAGGAAAGCGCCTCAGGGGTGGAGAGAAATGGGGAACTTGGGAGACGCAGGTGGTGGAATGGGTGGCACCTGGGAGGGGGAGGATGGGGAAGGAAGAGCAAAGCTGTGTCCTTACTCTGTCCTGGTGGGGGCGTGGCGCGGGAGGGTGGCAGTTCTGCCCACTCATTTGGGGAACCTGGAGGCTGAGCAGGTTTGGGAAGGATAATGAGTCTGCGGCTCCTGTGAGCCCCCGCCCCCCAACTCCAACCTCCAGGCCCCAGCCCGCTCTGCAGCCTGGGAGGAGACCCAGGGGCTTCCTCTCGGTCTTGACCCTCACTCAGATAAAGGCCTACTCTAGGCTGAGTCTCCAGGGATAACTCCGCTCGCCTGACAGAATCTAGGGAGCTGGCCGGGTCTCACCAAGGCCAGCCAGAGGCTGTTGTCCCCACTGGAGGCCGGCTCTTCGGTCCAGCCTCAGAGACTCTCCCAGGGCACTGCTGGACTCCCAGCAGAAATCCGTACTGACTGCACCTATAACCTCTGCCAGGAAAATACTTTGCTTGTGTTTGCAGGTATGGATGGAGGTGGTGCACAGCTTCCATGCTCTGGACGTGCCACCCTCCCAACACTCTGGAGCTCCTGTTGGTGCAGACATGAGGAGTAGAGAAGCCAGTGCCTGAGGGGGAGGCCCTGGGTGAGTGTTCCATGAACATGGGCCACTATGAGCTGCTGGGGGTGAGGATGTGCCTGTGAGAACCACACAGCCAAGATGAGGGCTGGTTGGGACGTGGGGACAGGTGGCACGGGGTTGGCATGGTGACCATATGTGCTTTATTCTTTTTTCCCCCTAAAATAAAATCAGCTTTAAAGAACTAAAAGTAATAGTTATTGAAATGATTCACTGGAAACAAAAAGGTTCACTGTGTAAGATTCAGACAATACAGAAAGGTAAAAGGAAACAAAGGTTAGGAAAAAACCCCACCTTTTAAATATAAAATAAAACAAAGAGACAGAAGCCACAGCAAGACAAATGTACAGCTTAATGAATTATAATAAACACCATTGTGACCACCACCTGGTTCAAGACAGAGAACTTGGCCAGCCTCCCTAATGCCTCCCTGCACCCCGCCGGGCCACAACTGCTTCCTTACACCCCAAAATAACCACTATCCTTATTTTTATGTCAATCACTCCTTTGCATTTCTCTGTGGTTTTATCACCCAAGTGGAAACACTTAGATACCATAGTTCAGTTGGCAATTAAAAAACATTTCCTATGTCATTTAAGTGCTTTTAATCAGAAGTCCCCTTGAGATTCTCTTTCCAATTCCCTCTGCCCCTTCCCCCACCCCCTCCAGCCCAGAGCTGTCTCTCTCTCTCTAAAATAAATAAATAAGTCTTTGAAAAAAAAATAAGTGCTTTTAATCTATAGGTTCCCCTCCTCCCTGTTCTTTTCCTTAAAATATGTCTGTTGAGGACGCTGGCTGTTTGGCCTGTAGAGTTTCCCACAGTCTGGATTTTGTCCAGTGCAGTTCAATTTGTCCTTTGTCTTCTGCAATCCATGCAAATTGGCTTTATTTTTAATGGCTGTATCATAATTTGTAACCCATGTCTTCTGATTGCCCAGCTTGTTTTTTCAGATTGCTATAATGAACACCATTAAGATGAACACATCCTCAAATCTACCCCTTTGCCTGCTTGTGGATACTTTGTTGTGATGGGGCATGGTTGGGAACACTGGTCTCTCCTTGGGGTCAGCCTATCCAGCCCTTGAGTGCTGTATCAGCAGCCTCAGCCCACCTGCAGGCAGGGCTGCAACCTGTCAAACCTGGAGCCTGGAGCTCCATGTCCTCACACCCTTTGTCCCACTCCCCATCTGAGTTTGATTCACTCTGTGCCACCTGGAGACCCTTTCCATGTGGTCCAGCTGCTAGCCCTTCCCCACCAGCCCATATTGCTGAAGTCTCAGCAGCTTTCGGAATGGCCCTACCCAAAACACAACATGTGTATTTTTCTTAGTATGTGGTTGAGGTATTTACATACTGAAAAAATGCAACATAGCCATGCTATTCATGGCCCACCATATCCGCTTGACCCACCTCTAAGTTCAGCTGCAGCTATGGTGGCCACTTAGGGATTTTCCAAGGCAGCTGGGAAGTCTCAGGGAGTTAACAGTCCTGTGGTCAGCTTCTGCCCATAGGGGGAGGGGAGCCAGAGGACAAATATCTCTGTCCACTGTCCTTTCGAGAGACAAGTTTCAGGTGCATTCTACACATTTCCTTAGAGATTTCCCAGCAGACTGCCTGTCGCTTGCCCAGTCCAACACACACCCTTCCCTGGCATTTCCTCCCCCTGTCTCCTTCCCCCTTCTCCCTTGCTCCAGTTTTGTGATATTACCTCACCATGAAACTCTTGGTTCCCAAGTCCTCGACTCGGGCTCTATTTTGGAGGGGACACAAACTAAGATATTAGAGTCATATTTTGTGAAGTCACAGCCTGGTGACTGAGCTAATGAGAATTCTCCAGAAGTGGTCAGCTTGAGAACCCCCACCAAAGGAGCCAACACTCACTGGACCTCTACACTGAAGATGGTCTCCTGTGCTTGAGAAACATGCTAGAAATTAGAAACACCTTCTTCCAACCTGAACAGATTTGAACCTTCTGGAAAGAAGAAAACATAGCACTATGTTTAATTTGCCTGCTCCCAGGCAATGGCACATAAAATGGCCATGTGGAGACCCAAACTAGAAGAGACACCAAGGTAAAGTGCCTGTGAATCCACCAGGAATAAGTCAC